TGTTTTCCGATGGTCTTAGGCGACCCCTGTGAAAGGGTCGTTCGACCCCCAAAGGGGTCGCGACCCACAGGTTCAGAACCGCGTAGATGGCTAGCAGACAAAGAGCTATAACAGAGATCAAGATGTAATTAGGACCCAGCTGCCACCCAGAGGATCAAGGTGGAAAAGCATCCTCAGGCCTCACAGAGAGGAGAAAACCACATTTCACATTCTTGGATCACACAGAGCAGCAGGATCAATACCTCTGACTAGAGAAAAGCAGATCAGATTTGGCGAGAAAGGATAAGGAACTTTGCTTATCTGGCTCACAAGAATTGTTTGTCCCTTCTCAAAGAATCCTCCCTCTCCGCCCCCCCAGAAAAAAAGAAAAAAGAATCCACAGGGGGAAAAAATTTACCATTTTATCCATTAACCTTTGTAATGTCCTACAATCCTTGGGTTTAATCTGTATTAAATTCAAGAAAGGAAGGTACTTCCTAAAGCAGTGGTTCTCAACCTTGCTAATGCCGTGACCCTTTAATACAGTTCCTCATGTTGTGGTGACCCCCAACCATAAAATTATTTTTGTTGCTACTTCATAACTGTAATTTTGCTACTGTTATGAATCGTAATGTAAATATCTGATATGCAGGATGTATTTTCATTGTTACAAATTGAACATAATTAAAGCATAGTGATTAATCACAAAAACAATATGTAATTATATATGTGTTTTCCGATGGTTTTAGGTGACCCCTGTGAAAGGGTCATTCGACCCCCAAAGGGGTAGCGACCCACAGGTTGAGAACCGCTGTCCTAAAGTGTTTTCTACTTTGATCTGAATTATCCCACACTGCTAATCTCTAGCTTAGCTCAGTTCTTTTTGCTTTGTTCTTAAGCCTTTTCTCATTACTTTTTCCTTTTGTGCCAACTCATATATTACGGTATTTTCTTAGGACAATACCTGAGGCAAATCAAAGTACAGAGAGGAGAGAAATAAGCAGGAGGAGGAACTGTAATTGTTCGTAAAAATTCCAATCTTATTCCAGGTGCTGAGGCAAATGTGAAGACAAAAATACTTCTTACCGGATAGTTCCTCGAAAAGAGTTCTTAAGTGGTGTGGACCCCACATACAGGATGTGTACTTTGGCAAAGCGTGAATTTATGCTAGAGACCTATGGAACAGAGATAAGATCAGCATTAGAGTATTAGCAGTTGTCAGCTCAAGGAGGCAGCAATAAACTAGGAATTATCAGGATTTCAGTCTAAGCAATCTTACTAAGTAGAGAATTTAAGACAAGTTAAGTCCTACTTATCCTTGCATAAAGTGGAATAAGAGCCACTCAGGCCAATGGAATTACTGTAGGAATCAAATGAAATAGCACAGTATTATTTTGAAAAACACACATTTCTAATATAAATAGACACAGGGCATTATAGCAAATCGAGATCTTTAGCAGGTCTTACTAAGAGGCCTAGAGTGGATGGAATTTAAGTCCACATTTCAGCTGCTGCATAATATTTGGATCACTGCCTCTCCAGTTATTTTCAGAATTACACATAGATTTTTCGGCTGGAGCAAGTTATAAAGAGAGAAACTAAGAGCTCCAAGTTAATGTAACCTGGCAGAGGGTGGGATGATGTACTAGAGTTACTGATCAGTATAGCATTAATTTGTACTTCCTGTGGAACATCTTAAAGACTTTATATTTAACAGGAATGCAACAGTATAAAGTTTTTCACTTTTCTGCAGAAAAAGGTCTCATCTCAGATATTCAAAGATACACCTTCTTATCACCTTTTGGAGCCCGTTTCCCATACAAGTAAAACTATATACTCAGGGAATCTGTTCTATGAAAGAACTATGCAAACCTGAACTTGGCTGCCTTGATCATTATCCTAGAAATCTTTAGACCAGCACAGTCCAGTAAAATTTTCTGTGATAAAAATGTTTTGTGCCCTAACCGGTTTGGCTCAGTGGACATGTAGCTATTAAGAATTTGAAATTCGGGTAGTGAAGCTGATAAATTTTTTCAAATATATATATATTTTATTGATTTCAGAGAGGAAGGGAGAGAGAGATAGAAACATCAATGATTAGAGAAAATAACTGATCAGCTGCCACCTGCATGCCCCCTACTGGGGACTGAGCCCACAACCCAGGCATGTGCCCTTGACTGGAATCAAACCCAGGACCTTTTCAGCCAGCAGGCTGATGCTCTATCTAATGAGCCAAATTTATTTTTCTAGGGCGCTGATAAATAAATTTTATTTTACTTACTTTTAAATGGCCATATGTCGCTAGTGGCTACCATATTGAACAGTGCAGTTCTACAATGATCATGATGTCAGCACTGCATGTGGGTATCCTAAGTAGCGACGTTAGAACTAACTTACCTTACAGGTTACAATAGCTCCCACATCTGGCAGTAATTGGGACTCTGTTTCTCTCATCACAGACACAACAGGAAGCTGAAAGGAAAACAATAAAACATGAGTATCCTGGCTAAGCCTTGGGTAGAGGTATTTGTGGCTGAGTGTAATATAGGAATGTCTTGGTCTGCAGATGGACTACAGATTCGTTTGTAGCAAAGAGCAGAAAGCCTTAGAAATTTTAGAAAATAGGAGGGCCACAGAAAGGATGCTGTTAGAAGACATAATCTAACCATTTCAGATCAGTTCTAACAAGTTTTGAGTGTGACTTTCTTGGAATTACTTGGTATAAAATTTCTTGCCTATAATCATGGATAATTTGACTTTTTCTTCCAAAGCTATACTGCTTATTCTTTCTATTTCTCATTATACAGGCTAGAATTTCCAAATAAATGTTATATAATAGTGGTCATACTTGTTTGCTTCTGGTTTAGGGGAATGCTTGTAGAGTTTTCTCTTTGAGCATGGTATTAGCTGTTGGTATATGGTAGATAATATTTTTGAACCTCATATGTTCTTAATTTCTCCCTTGTTCATTATGGTTTGGGTCTCCTGGCCTTCAGTTCACCAGCTCACTAAATTTCTTCCCCTCTGAGGAGCTCTGTTCAACCTGTTCTTTTTGCCAGGACTGAGCTCTTCCTATTTATCCTTTAGATTGGTTAAATGTCACTTCCGCTAACTAGGCTGGGTTTACCTATGACACGTTCTCATGGCACCCGGTAGTATTCTTTTAAAGCAGTCATCACATTTGTAACCATAAATTAATTTGAGCATTTATTTATTTACAATTTGGGTTTGTGCCCTTTGATAGCAGAGACCATGTGTATTTGGCTCATTACCATATCCCTAGAGGTCAGCATGAGCCTGACATATGAACATGCTCAACAGATGTCCATACCTAGGAAATGAACACACTTACCAATGTTAAGGACATTCCCAAAACTGAATGAAAAGCCTCTCCCTTTACAGATGAGGAAGAACGTAAAGCCAGAGAGTGTGTTTCTTCGATAAAGCAGAATCAAGGTCTAGTTAGCCAGCGCCTACGTGTTTTAATCCTGAATCCTCTTTCTAGTCCCTACCTGTCTTTAAGCTGCACCTTCAAAGACTGTGTATCCGATCCTGAGTTAACACTGTGTTCGGCTCTGGAACTTGTGCATTCAACAAATGTTTACTGAGCATTTACCTTGTGCTGTGCACTGAAGGTATGGTGGTGAGGCCTGCTTTCATGAATCTTAGAGTCAAGTCGGGAAAGAGTCTGGTGGGGAACATGTAACTGTTTAATTCTATGCTGAGATAAGTGCTTGGAAGGAAAGGAGTACAATTCTTTGTGTTAAACAAACAAAAGCCAAACTCCCTTCCTCAAGGAGAGGGTCCAGGAGGGCTTCCCTGAGAGAGTGAGACTTAGGCCAGCGGTTCTCAACCTGTGGGTCGCGACCCCTTTGGGGAAACACATACATCGGAAAACACATACATAATTACATATTGTTTTTGTGATTAATCACTATTCTTTAATTATGTTCAATTTGTAACAATGAAAGTACATCCTGCATATCAGATATATACATTACGATTCATAACAGTAGCAAAATTACAGTTATGAAGTAGCAACGAAAATAATTTTATGGTTGGGGGTCACCACAACATGAGGAACTGTATTAAAGGGTCGAGGCATTAGGAAGGTTGAGAACCACTGACTTAGGCGATCTGAAGGGCAGGCAGGGATTACACAGGCTAAGGAGGGAAGGGCGCCAGGCAGGTGGTGTGGCACAAGGGCCCGGGGCAGGAGAGCTCAGGGCACTAGCGACGCTGAAGGAAGCCGGTATGACCAGACTGCAGAGTGCGGTGGGGATGTGGACGAACCAGAGAAGTAGGCAACATGCGGGCAGCAGTCAGCTCACAGAGGGCTGAGCTGGCCTCTGCTCTCCCCCCAGCAGCCTTCCCCGAGTGTCAGTAACACAGCCAAGGGTGCCCCAAACGACGGGCACCCTGGTGCCATCTAAGTGCCCAGCAGCAGGGACCACAGATGGAAGAAGCTTAAGAGACCAACTCTTCCTGGTGAGGCGCTTGAGATGCGTCCACAGTGCCCTTGCCCCAGGACCGCGAAATGAAAGGAAGCCTAAGAGAAAGGCAGAGACCGAGGAGATGGAGGGCCGCCCCCTTTACCGCGCCGTTCTCGCAGCTCTTCGTCATGCAGCCAGCAAGAGACGAAAAGATGTAGCCATGCCGGGTGTAGGTGCCGCTGCCCGGGCTGCCCTCCTCCAAGTTACACAGACGTTCGCCTGCGGGAAAAAACGCGGCATCAGCCAAGGGTGCCCAGAAGCTGTGGGCCATTCGGCCTTCCTGCCTCTGTCCCTATCCAGGACTCGGAATGGGCATCGCTCACTCACCCGGGATGCAGTACCTCACGGGTGGCGCCATGACAGCCACTATGCAAAACCCGGAGGAAAACGGAAACGGCCTCTTATTGGCCAAAACACGGGTGCAGTGCCTCAATAAGAAACGCGCCAATTGGTGCGTTTGTCACGTGACCCCGCGGCGCCTTTCTGAAGGGGTAAACTACATGTCCCAGGTTGCCCCGGGCGAATCCCGGGGCGGAGCTCCAGAGCGCCTGGATTTGCGCTTGCGCCGTGGTTGAGCATGGGCTGGCGGCGGGTCCGGGTCTGCAGGGTGGCTCTGCAGGCAGCGGGGTATGGTTGGTTGGGTTGAGCCGCGTGGGCCTGGGGCGCGGAGCTGGAAGGGGTGGCAGTGAGCGGAGGCTGCGGGCTCCATTTGGTTGACTGGAGAGTCGGCAGGAGGCAGGTAAGTCGGCAGGCCTTTGTCCTCAGTCCTGTCCCTTTTTCTAGGGTCGGGCCCTGTCCTGGGGCCTTGTCGTGTAGCCGGCTCCTGCTGTCTCCTAGCGGGGCCCTGTCTGTCCGCGCTCTCCTCTAGCCAGGCAGAGTGCACCTTCCGGGCAGCCGTAACCCGTGAAGCTGGAAGAAAGCCAGCTAACCCATCTCGCCCATTTCACAGATTTGCAAACTCAGATCCAGAGATAGGATTTGAATTGTCCAGTGTCTCAAAGATAGTTTAAGGTAGAGCCTAAACCGGAACCCACGTTTTTTGACTTCCAGTCCCATCGCACTTTGACCATGCCACCCTCACCGAGAAATAAACCTTTTCCCTGTTTTTATAACTGCAGCTTCCGATCTCAGTGGAATCCTCACAAGAGTCCGATCCCATCCTTAACTTTTTCTCTTCCCAACATGTTAGTCCGGAAGGGAAGTCTGCTCGTGAATAAAATGCTGCCGGTAGTGATGATTGACACCTGCTGCTCGAAATTGCAAACATCCTGAGAGCAACATCTTTGTCGGGATGAGGTTTACCAAGACTTTCATCACAGTTTCCTGTGCCTTCTGGCAGCTTTGAAAGCCATCTCTCCCAGTATACGCTCCCATCCCCAAATCCAGTTTCCCCTTGGGAAGCAGATGGTGATTTTGAGCCTTGGGAAGCGGAGAGTGCCATGGCCTGCAATCCCCTCTAATCTGGTGGCAGATGTCATTATGGTCTGTGGCTACTACTACCGTGGGCTCAGTGTTCAGGGCTTGTGCTTGGGGTGATGGTGTTGTGCTTTGCTCTGTTTCCTCCCTAGTTCACTCTGACCCCCCTCCTCAGTGCTCCTCCCCCACAATGTTTGAGTTCTGCTTTACTTCCGTTTCCTGAGATGAATGTGTGCTCAGTTGTGGCCCCCTGGACTACGCATCTCTTCCCTGGCCTCCCCATGGCCCCCAAAACCCACTAGCTTTTAAAGTGAGTGGAGGCTCAGCTTTAGACTTTGTTCACTCTTGCTCTCCATATCTACAAGCTTTCTGTTTACATGTTTGGGTTGATTTCTGGTTGAAATTGTTTCCTAAAATGCCTTCTAACACTTAAGTGCTATGATTCTAACAACGAGAAGTGATAGCAGCGGAAAATTATTTAGTGTTATCCATTGTTGGACAGATAGACATCTGACTAGCCTCTCCACTGCTACATCTCAGGTCATTTATTTAACAAGTATTTATTGAGCACGTCCATGAGTCAGGTCTTGTGCTAAGAACTTTATGAACATTAGCATTTACTCATCCTCATTGCATGGGAACACAAGAAAATTGAGTTCAGGCAGGATCCAGTGATTTGCCCAAGTCACAGAACCACTGACGGGCAGAATTGAACCTTGAGTAGTCAAATTACGGGGCAGATGAAAGTTGGCAAGTCTAGTCTTTGAAGCAGGCATTTCCTGTAGAGCTCGAATTCTGGAGATGGTTGAGAACAATCCAAAAAGTGGAAACCTGAAAAAGGAAGTTTGTTTGTAGACAGGAGAGATGGCATATTATCATGCTAATAAAGATGAGAAATGCAATGCATCTTAGTTGCCAGCTATTGCTATTGTATTTTAGGAAACAGGAAGTTCTCCATTAGCCATAGTAAGGGAATAAACAGTGGTATGGACATCTAAGCCACTTGCATTTGTTGTGGGGTAAAGTGTTTTGTCCCACTCTTAAATTTGATTGTGGTGCCTATCTATGCTATTTTGAAAGTTGATGCTTGAAGACAAATCATGTTTCCAAACAATGGGAGTCCAACTCAAAGGAGGTAGGAAGTTTGAGCTTTTCCTTTTTCTCTCTTCTACACTCTTAATTCTCTAGCTCCTAGGAGGTGATATGGGAATGGCCACTTTATCCTGGTGCAGAGAGTAGGTGTCTACTGAATTGTCTTTCTTCTCTTTCCCTGCTGGCATTGTCTGCTAGATTTCTTTTTCCCTTTGGTCAATATAGGGTTGTGGAAGGAGGTAATTAAGAGTTTTCTTTGAAAGGCTTTTTATGTTGGTGAGCCAGGATGCAAGGAGAGTACCTTGCTCTAGTTACCGAACGGAAACCATCCCTACAGTGGAGCAGCCTCCTCCAGTTTCTGCTGGGTCTTGAGCTGACTGTTAAATAAGTCAGTGGAGTTGCTGAGGACAAAGTAGCTCTAGGGGAAAATCAGATAATTTCTTTTCTGGAAGGGACTTTAATTTGCGGAGTTGATGAGACTATCATCGAAGGAATCTGTGTCTTCTGTTCTGGGCATTGCCTGGGCCGCTGACCTTCCATGGCTGTTGGATGAGGTAGAAACCACACAGAGGAGATGGAGGCCCTTGCAGAGGAGCCATGCAAAGAGCCAGAGAGCTAGGGAAGCTGGTTGGGAAGCTTGGGGCCAAGGGCAGCAGCTGCCGAGAAGGCTCTTGAATGTTCAACTAGAACAGGCAGAGGAGACTCAGCGGAGAGGTCAGGCCTTGTTGTCGTCCTGAGCCACCAGCATGGAGGCTCCCCTCCCACTGCCATGTCTTCCTGCCTGTGGTGGTATTCTCCTCTGAATACCCGAGGCTGTCTTGGCTGCTGTACCCTTGGGGTGGCGCTGGGACTGGAATTGAAGACAAAGCATCTTATGTCATGGAAGGGTAGCTGAGCTGTCCTGACAGGAGACAGGGGCTCTCCTGCTACCAGGTTGGCCTGTAACATCAGCCCAGAGGGAGTAGGAAGGATGAGTATCTTTTGTCAGGACTCAGCAACCACATAATTCTTGTGGACTGGAAACCCTGGGCAGGGGAGTCTGGGTGCAGGCTCCACATGCTAGCATTCACGCCACCACTGGTTGTTCCTTGGAGGTAGGTCAATGGGCCAGGGCAGACAAAGGCTTGGGGAACCCTCTGCCAGTGGCCATGCTCACAGACACACTGGGCAGCTTTCTGCATGTTGGCTGTGCTCCGCCAGTGACCTGTCTACAGACAATTCCAAAGACCCTGCTGTGTCTTGGAGCCGCCTGTCTGCCCTTCACCCCTTTACTGTGGCCTTTTGCTCTCGGTGTGCATCATCTTGGGTTTGCTGTGTAACCACATGGTGCAATGTGGTTTCTGCCGGATTAGAACCTCCAGCCCTACCCCCTGTAGTCTGGTTGGGACATGGCACTGCACATTCCGTAGAGAATGGAAGTGACTTTCTTACTGCCCACAGCTGGTAACTGGCCCAGCTGGGCCTCAGTTTTAGGTCTGTGCTTCCAAACTGGTGCTCAGGGCCTCCCCACTGGTGGGCTAAGGAGGGAGGCTGGTCCCTCACAATGGTGTGCTCTCCTAGGAGCCATGCAGCCCCTCACAATGGTGTGCTCTCCTAGGAGCCATGCAGCCCCTCACAATGGTGTGCTCTCCTAGGAGCCATGCAGCCCCTCACAATGGTGTGCTCTCCTAGGAGCCATGCAGCCCCTCACAATGGTGTGCTCTCCTAGGAGCCATGCAGGGCCAGCGGAGCCTGCTGCTGGGCCCTGCCCGCCTCTGCCTGCGCCTGCTTCTGCTCCTGGGCTCCAGGCGCCGCTGCCCCCCTCTGCTCCGGGGCCTGGTACAGCGCTGGCGCTATGGCAAGGTCTGCCTGCGCTCTCTGCTCTACAACTCCTTCGGGGGCAGTGACACCGCTGTCGATGCTGCCTTTGAGCCCATCTACTGGCTGGTGGACAACGTGATCCGCTGGTGTGGGGTGGTGAGTGATGCCCAGGGAGCAGGAAGAGGGATGTTTTGGGGTAGCAGAGGGACATGTGTTTGATGCACCAACGCCAGCCCCTACCCTGGGGATATTCCTGAGTTATTCTGGGTGGCGACAAGCTCTCTCACTGCATCTCCCTGACCTCACTGGTGTTGGCAGGTGTTCGTGGTGCTGGTGATTGTGCTGACCAGCTCCATTGTGGCCATCGCCTACCTGTGTGTCCTACCCCTCATCCTCCGAACCTACTCAGTGCCACGACTCTGCTGGCATTTCTTCTATAGTCACTGGAACCTGATCCTCATCGTCTTCCATTACTACCAGGCCATCACCACTCCACCTGGATATCCACCCCAGGTGGGTCTCCACAGGGGGTCGGGGAGGCAGAGGGCTGCTGGCCATGGGCGCCCGTCCCAGGAGTGGGGAGAGAGCGTGCCTTGCATCTTTGCAGGTATGAAACTGGTGCTGCCATATTGTCATGATGCTTTTCTCTCTTCGCACAGGGCAGGAATGATATCGCAACAGTCTCCATCTGTAAGAAGTGCATCTACCCCAAGCCAGCCCGAACACACCACTGCAGCGTCTGCAATAGGTGGGTCTTGGCTTTGCTTTCTGTGAGCCCTAGCTCTGGCCCTTTGGCTGTAGCCCTAGGGAAAAACGGAGACCTGGGATTTGAGAAGATGTTTATGAAGCACTCACCACGTGCCAAACAATGTGCCCTCTCTGTCATGACCCCTGGCCCTCAGGATGGTCCTGTGAGTTAGTCATCATCACCACTTGTAGAAACTGAGGTTCCGAGAGATGAGTTGCCCTGATACTCATGTAATATCAGGTAGCCAGTGTAGCAGCGTTTGAAGCAAGGCCTGGCTGTCTTCCAAGTCTGTGCCCTTCCACCTCAGCAGGATGTTGGTCCTTGTAGAAAAGGATTGGCACTGACATCTCAAGAACCTTGGCCACCGTAACAGAGCCTGTGTCCCTCCCTCACAGGTGTGTGCTGAAGATGGATCACCACTGTCGTATCCTTTTATTATCTCTTCCGCCTGAGGCCTCCCCTTTAGCTTCAGAGCACTGCACAGGGCTAAGGGCCACAGACTTGAGGCTTCTAGCATCACCCTGCGGAGAACATTGGGCTCATGAGAAGTTAGTGGAAGAGGAGTTGTGGCAGCTGACCATCTCTTGGGGGAAGCAGGAAGCTTACAGGTGCTCTGGGACAGAACTCCTTGGAGCAAGTCATCTGTTCCTACAGCCCTTTCTTTTGTAGACTGTCATGCCGGCACCTATTGGATGGAAAGAGATGTTTGGGCTTCGGTCGTCGTCCACTGGGTATCCAGATAGAAGCATTGGTTCCCTTCTGCTGCCCCGTACAGATGTCTGGTTAACCCCAGCTAGGTTGACATATTGGCAAATTCATTTTAGTGAATGGTTTCAATTTTCATGATTTCCTGGTGGGATTGTGAGGGCTCTGAAAAGCTTTAACACTTTCACCTCAACCTCTGGCAAGTCCCATATGTATTTTCCTGCCTTTGGAAAATAGTTCTTGGTGACTGGAAACCCTGGGCTTGGATGATGTCATCATGAAACAAGGATGAACCAGAGAGGCCTGGACACACCCTGAAGTTGTTTGATCTTGTCCTTAATCTTTCACGCACCAGCCTGGCTAAACAACTGTGTGGGCCACTATAACCATCGGTACTTCTTCTCTTTCTGCTTTTTCATGACTCTGGGCTGTGTCTACTGCAGCTATGGAAGTTGGGACCTTTTCCGGGAGGCTTATGCTGCCATTGAGGTGAGCCCATAGTTAGGAGCAGGGCTACTACGTAACGAGCACTTTGGGGTGTGGAATCTGTCCCTTAAGGAGTGGGGCTGGTAGCACCTCCATGCTAGAGACCTGAGAGTATAACCAGCACTGTTTTCCATCCCCTTAGAAAATGAAACAGCTCGACAAGAACAAACTACAGGCGGTTGCCAACCAGGTGGGCGGTCCCCACCCCACTGCCTTTTGCTGCTCAGGCCAGGGGGCATAGAGTTGCTGAGGCAACCAGGGCCCACCTGGTGGAGTTGTAGAGACTGGTTGAGGGGCCGCTGGAGACTGGATCAGGGGTGTTCTGGGAGGCTGTCTGCCATGCAGACTAAGTGGCCTGGAAGTCCCTCGTATGTGACAGTTTTTGGTTCTCTATCCCATTATCACCTTTTTTGGGCTGAGCAAGGACTCTGCCTTGGTGATGGCCTGAGCAGCAAGGAGTCTGTGTCGGTCTGTGTACTGGGGCTCCAGGGGACAGAGATCAGGCTGGGCCAGTCTGATCATCCTTCGCTCCTGGTCTGTCTGCATCCGCATCTGGGTCGTCCTTTCTCCCAGGCTTTTTGGGACTCCTTATGCTGAGCAGATCTTGGGCTGATTGTATTTCTGCTGACCTTTCAGTCCTTAGTGTAGCTAAGTTCTCCCTGCTGCAGTCATTCCATTCTGGGTGTGGGTCTGGTCTCTTCTCTTGGCGATTGCAGCCACAGGGGAAGGTCTAGCTGGGAAGTGGAGTGGCTTCCCCTGGATCCCCATTTGTGTTGTCAGATCTGAAGGCCCAGGGTCGGCTCCTCCTGTGCTTTGCCATCCTGTCCAGACCCACTCTGCCCAGTGTTTGTCCACATGATGCTGCCGGGCTTGGTCCACCCATCTGGCTGCTACCCTGACTCCTCTGTGGCTTAACCCATTATTTTTTCATCCTGGGCTTGAATCACTTCCCTGCCTGAAGGTGCGGGGGGCTCTGGTGGAGACTAGCACAGCAAATGAGCCAGACTTTGCTGTTTTCTTTTTCTAGACTTATCACCAGACCCCACCACCCACCTTCTCCTTCCGAGAAAGAATGACTCACAAGAGTCTTGTCTACCTCTGGTTCCTGTGCAGGTATCTAACTCGCTCCTTTTTGGCAGCTTAATGGAGGGGCAGCTTCAGAAAAACCTTTTTAGGTGCCCACAGGGACCTATTCCTGTGTGAACTGCTGCTCTTAGTCTAATAAAGGTTAGAAAAGTCAGCATTTAATTTTCTCTAGCATTTTGGTGCAGGGAATACTAAGGATACTGGCATTGAGTGTTTGTTAAATGCCAAGGTAAGTTAAACGCCTACCTAATCAGTAAGTGACTACATTTTATAGATAAGGAAAACTGAAAATTAGCGGGGTGATTTGTTCCACAATACACAGCTAGGAATGAATGTAGAGCTGGAGCCTGAATTTTGTGCCATCCCATTCCAACCCCTGGTGCTTTTACTACTCTCTACAGGCTCTCAAGCATGGCTATTTTAAGAAATACACAACATTTTTTATTAGTAATACAGAGTTATTCCCCCCTCCTTTCCATATAATTTATTCTTTGCCCATGTTGAAGCATTTTCATTGATGCTTTTTATAGATGTAGTGAAGAAAAAGTTTATCTGGGGTGCGTAGGCTGGGAAAGAGGTCCCTATCCAATCATTATTGCTCAGCTTAATTTCAGACATAGCTGTTAACTCTCTCTAAGCTACTAACCAATCTTTGCTTCTTTTCTTAGTTCTGTGGCACTTGCCCTGGGTGCCCTAACTGTATGGCATGCTGTTCTCATCAGTCGAGGTGAGACTAGTATTGAAAGGCACATCAACAAGAAGGAGAAACGTCGGCTGCAGGCAAAGGGCAGAGTGAGTAGGGCTGAGGGCTGGGGGAGGATGCTGAACCTGCCATCCTATAAATAGGCCCTGGTTAGGGCCAACTACGGCAGGCATCCTGAAAGGCCAGAACTTGCCTAGCTGAGCTTAGGCCTGGCCAGTTTAGGCTTGAAAATTAGAAGGGGATTAAATAAAGGGGTTTGTAGAAACTTACATTTTTCTTGGTCCTAGATTTTTAGGAATCATTATAACTACGGCTGCTTGAACAACTGGAAGTTATTCCTGGGTGTGGACACAGGAAGGTAAAGTAGACCAGTGCTGTCCAATAGGAATCTGTGATGAGAAAGATGTTCTGTACCTATGCCAGTGATGGCGAACCTTTTGAGCTCGGCGTGTCAGCATTTTGAAAAACCCTAACTTAACTCTGGTGCCATGTCACATATAGAAATTATTTGATATTTACAACCATAGTAAAACAAAGATTTATATTTTTGATATTTATTTTATATATTTAAATGCCATTTAACAAAGAAAAATCAACCAAAAAAGAGTTCACGAGTCACCTGACATGCGTGTCATAGGTTCGCCATCACTGACCTATGCTGTCTAAGACATTAGCCACATGTGGCTACTGAAATCTTGCCGGGTGGCTAATGCATCGATGAACTTTTTTATTTAAGTTTTATTTTCACTAATTTAAAAAGGCACATGTGTGCCCTGGATGGGTAGCTCAGTTGGTTAGAGTGGGATCCCAATACCCCAAGGTTACAGGTTCAATCCCCAGTCAGCACATACAAGAATCAACCAATGAATGCATAAGTAAGTAAAACAACAAATTGATACGTTCTTTTTCTCTCTCTAAAATAAAAATAAATTAGAAAACAATAACAAAACACACGTGGCTAATGGCCACAATATTGGAAGCACAGATCTAGATTCTAGTAGAGATCATTGCTTATTTGCGCCAACAGAGTTTAAGGCCAACACTGGTTTAAGTAGCAGATGAAGCTTGCAGATAACACAGTATCCCAAGAAAGCTCTTTTCAAGAAGGGACTTCTAGGTAGGGAAGGTGGCCACCAATCACCTTTCATTTGTATGGCAGTGTCTGGAGTTCAAGCCAATACTTTCTGGAATTGAAATAATCGATTTGTGACAGAGGTTGTCCTAAGACAATAAATGAAGCTAGCTCCTTCCACCCAAGACATAGAAAATCATTTTCCAAATTGCAGCGATCGAGGCAGTAATAAGGTGACCACAAGTACCTGCCTGCCTCCTTTCCCCAACCCCATTGCATCCCTGGCTGTTACTGTACTTGCAGTCGCCCCTTAGACGTTCAGCTCAAAACCTCTAAAGGCCTTCAAGGCACCAGAGGACACATTTATTGGACAAAATTGGGGCTTTTGTTCGTGATTAAAGCCAAGGTAGCTTCAGGATACATACAAGGTAGCTTAATGTATCCTTACTGAGGAAAGAGGATCAGGAAGCCCAGAAACTCTTGGGACTCAGAGACATTCTTTTCTCTTGCAGGCACTGGCTTACTCGGGTGCTGTTACCTTCCAGTCACCTGCCCCACGGGAATGGAATAATCTGGGATCCCCCTCCTTGGGTGACTGCTCAGTCGGCCTCTGTGATGGCAGTGTGAGCTGGATTCTGTCAGCCACAATTTGAGCATCACCCTGCTTCCTGCACTGTCTTGAGGGCCTCCAAGGGTAGCTTCTTGGAACTCTTGAGCAACAAGAGCCAGTGGACCTGCCTTAGGGTACCATGCACAGACAACCCAAGGACCCGACTCCTGGCCACTGCAGAAGCACGGCACGATGTGGAAAAGTCCTGGGACTGATGTTCCTTTCCTCAGGCAAACAGAAGTTCCAGCCGTGGACTGGAGATTAGGCAGCTAGCAACCTTGCCGGGTGCTGACCCCAACCTCCAGGTTATAGCACTGGAGTTGGCCACCACCACTTCCACTTGCTGTCTGAGAAAACGCCTGAATGGTCATGCTGAGATCCTGGCTTCTCAACAGGGCAAAGATACCAGGCCTACTGCTGAGGTCACTGCCACTTCTCACATGCTAAAGGGAGCAAAAATAAAGGTATTTGATTTTTAAAGATCTGTAGCTTCTCACTCTTTGCCGCTACTTTAGGGCAGGGAAGGGGAAAGTCAGGGTCAAGGCTTAGTGAGTAGTGTTCTGGTCATGCCACCTCTGCCCTATTTGGAGGCACTGGATGCCTTGAAGAATTCTTGGCTAATCTCTTTCATTACTGTTCTTTTCGCTTATACAGTGACACTGCTGATTATGTGCTACTGAGGCATAAGTGGAGGTCAGGGGGCGGGGAGAGAATATCTGACAGTTCCATTATAAAAAGAAATCTTTATTCTTCAGCAGATATCCACACATGCACCATCCCTGGTCCTCAGGGCCACACTCATCTATCTGCATTCACTCCTCAGCAGCGTATCTTTTTCTGACATACAAATATGGAAGAGTCTTTAAGATCTTTCTTCAAACACAAGTAGTCTCACACTCAGTTACTCCACAATCCATTAGAAACCAGGACTGTTTCTTGTACAGCCGTGCAGCAGAGGCCCAGCATTTATGCTGTATCTGTAGGAAAGGCAATCAGAGGCCAATGGTCTCCCTGCCTTGGCAAGATGGCTCAATAGTTAGTAATTCCACGTTAGATTGTCAGAACAGTCTAGGCCAGGACTCAGGGCTCAGCTGCCGGGGCTTCCCAACAGAAACCTGTAGCAGAAAGAATGTTGGCAGCATTAGTGGTGAGGCTCATTTCAATCCCATCTCTCCCCACGACCTAGGAACTCACCATTCTCCCCTGGCTGACACTGCTTCCTTGCGCACCAGTCTCTTCTTGTCATCCAGAGGTTTGGCTAAGGCCCGGATCACCTGTGGTTTGTACGGCAGCAGCTGCGGAATAAGAGTTAATCTCAGCCTGTTTAGCCAAGGCAACCGAAAGAGCTGCTTCTCTGACCCTACAACTACTCTTGAGTCCTATTCTTTTTTTTTTTCTTTAGAACTATTGTTTATTAATAGTCACTATGTAAAAGCACAAAAGCATCATCAGAATATCATGGGAATTTAATGCTGGTTAATTTCTTTTTTTTTAAATTGTTTAAAGTATTACATATGTCTCCATTTTTCCCGATTGACCCCCCGCCCCCTACCCCACCACTCCTGTCCCCCAGGACAAGCCCCTACCACCCCAGTGTCCGTGTCCATTGGTTATGCTCATATGCATGCATACAAGTCCTTTGGTTGATCTCTTACCACCCCCCCCCACCCCCCCGCCTTCTGAGATTGGACAGTCTGTTCAGTGTTTTCTTTGTCTCTGGATCTATTTTTGTTCATCAGTTTATGTTGTTTATTATATCCCACATATGAGTGAGATCATGTGATATTTATGTTTCTCTGACTGGCTTATTTCGCTTAGCATAATGCTCTACAGGTTCATCCATGCTGTTACAAATGGTAAAAGTTCCTTTTTTATAGCAGCGTAGTATTCCATTGGTTAGATGTACCACTGTTTTTTAATCCACTCATCTGCTGATGGGCACTTAGGCTGTTTCCAAATCTTAGCTATTGTAAATTGTGCTGCTATGAACATAGGGGTGCATTATGTCCTTTCTGATTGGTGTTTCTGGTTTCTTGGGATATATTCCCAGAAGTGGGATTACTGGGTCGAATGGGAGTTCCATTTTTAAATTGAGTCCTATTCTTGAGTGATTCCAGAGGACGCTAGGTGACAGGATGACCATTCTGTGGTAGGGTATTCAGACAAATCCTTGCCTATCTGTACCCTGCAGTTCATCACACAGCAGGGTGGCCAGTCATGCTTGACTAAGGCAAAAAGGTACTTCTCTGGCTCTTAGAATTTTCCAGGCCAGAGAGGGACACCTGAGGTACTCACCACAGGGGTGGGCAGGCGAGTGAGCGCGTGCATACACTGCAGTGCAGCAATCCGGACAGCCTGGAACACAACCATAGGGAGGTGAGAGGAGACCCAAGAAGGACAGCTGCAGATGCCAGAGGTGCTCAACGTACCATGGAAGGGCTGGAGCTGAGGTTCAGGAACTTGGTAACGAGGGTGTCAACATGAAGACTCATGACTTGGGGTGCTTCTTGTAGAAGAGGCTGAAGGCAGCTGAGGGTGGAGAGCTGTACCACACAGTCGGGGCAGGACAGGGCCTCCAGCAGCAAGGAAAGCAGCTAAGGGGCCACAGGAAAGGTGGGGATGACCACAGACGTGGCGACGAGCCTGCTTCTCCTCCCCTCCCCTCTCTAGCTCAGCTGGGGGACAATGGCTTGGTCCCTTGCTTAGAGGCTCTGGACTGCAAGGCTTACCGTGGGCAGCTCTGGCAAGAGCACAGGCTTAGGCAGCCGGTTAAGTACATGAGACAGACCCTTCAGGTAATTTGGCTTCACATCTGTAAAAAACAGAGAAGCTTAGGGGAGAAACTGGGCTCAGACATACAGCTTGAGAATTCAACTCCAATCTGATGAAGCTGGGACATTAGCCTACATAGATGTTTAAAAAAAAAAAAAAAGCCCCGCAAGCTCAGAATAAGCAAGATCTATCCACCAACGGAAAAGAATGGGGTAAGAATCTGGAAGGTTAGCCCTTTAAGTACAGACCACACTGAAGAAGCACTGAGGTCCTAAATTATCTTACAGAATGAGGCCTGAGCCAAGGAGAGGCTTATAAATTTTGGGCCTTCCTTTTAGACTCTCCTTACCTTGGGGAGCAGCATGGAAGCCCTGGACCAAAGCAGGCACGTTATCTGTGAAGAAGCGCTGGCGGAACATGATCCGCACATCAGCATGGCCAGCACGAGTCAGTACGTCAGTGCAGTCAGACATGAGCAGAGAGAAGCCATCAGCTGCTTTTGGGCCTAGTTCTGAATCACTCAGGAGGCCCATGAGCTGGAAGAAAAGAGAGCCTTTGAGGTACATTGGGAGAAGACTCCTAAATACCCAGGAGGAGGATGACAGTCATTTCTGGGAGGAACAGGATCAACAGAAGTTCTGTTTAGGTCCTACATTCCCTTGTCTCCAGACTGGACTTACCCGATCTGTAAGGCAGGAACTGAGAGGATGATATCTGAGCACTAGGGCCTTTGTTACCTGTAATCAGAGAAGAGAATGGTCAGGGCATGACACAAGCACCAGAACCCTGAGAAGCATGCTATGCTTCCAGGTCAAATGGAGAAATTTTTTTTTACCAGACATCATAATTGTGTGTTTAATGAGAATCCATTCCGACTCCTTACCCAGAGAAGCAGTGTGAAGGCCTGACTGCGATGGGCCCCAGAACCCAGCCCAGCCTCCACTTTGTCCACAGCCAGCTGTAGGAATTCATCCAGCTGTTGCCCTAAAAAGAGAGGAAATGATGCAAAGGCTACATATTTTTCCTTTAACAATGAAGGACGTAAATCATATCAGTGCAGAGCTCCCCGAGAAGCCACGAGAAGAGAACAATATCACTCAGCTCTGGAACCAGCACGAGAGCCTGCTATCCCTAAAGCGCAGGGCTGCTGGCACTGGAAGAGTTGTCTGCTCCCAATAAAGAAGGATCCCTGACAGCTCCCTGTAGGGAGCAGGATGACAGATTAGACACAGCACTCTGCTGTACCCCCTCATCTCTGTCCTGTAATGCTTTGTCCAAATGCTCTCAACTTGTCCCAAGGACTGTCCCCTGGGATCCCCTATTATATGTACTATTAGCAGGCTCCTTTTTAAAGAAGAATGAGGACTGAACTTCAAGATCCCATCAGGATGGCTTCCCGTACCTGCAGGGTGCTTGTTGAGGAGTCCTGCAAAGCACTTGGCAGCAGCAGTGGAGGAGAAGGGGCAACCCTGGCAGCAGCTCAGCTCTAAAAGCTCCCGCATAAGTTGGTTCAGCTGAGGGATTTCCACCTGCAGAAAACCTGGTCATGTAATGGACCCAGAGAACACTTTGAACTCACAGAGATAACCAGTGAAAGTGGCAGCAGGGCCAGGATGGACGAGAACTGCATTCCTCAGTGGGGAAGTAGATCAGCTTAGTCCTCGACGAAGTTCAGCCCAGCAGCCACTTGGCATCCACCTCTCCTCGTCAGGGTTAAACTAGGGTAACTCCCCAAATGTGTTTACTTACATTTCGAGGCAGGGAGCAGACAAAGGCCATAAGCAGTGCAACCAGCCTCCTCTGTCCCGAGGAGCCATCCTATAAAGGAAGAAGAGCGTTATCAAGCCTGTCATACCAGCCATAGGCTTATCGGTTCCAACAGCCATCCCAGATTAGCCCTAGAAATTTCAAGGACAGAAATCTCAGGATTCTACCCCATCTGATCCACCAGACCCTCACCTGGAATGGCTGGAATCTGCAAGGGAAGCTGTTTTCAGGCAGAAAGGAGATGTTGCCATCCAAGAAGAGGGGCACAATGCAGGCGACACTCTGGGCAGCTAAGCTAGGGGTAGAGCACTAGGTATCACCAAGGAGCTAGGGTTGTATAGTAGCCCTGGGGTTCCCATTAGAGTCACCGAGTCAATGGGTCTGAGCATGATCATTCACATATTCAACAATTATTAATTCAGCACATATATGCCAGGAACCGTTCCCATTCTAGGCCCTGGTGACAGAGCAGCAAGTCAGACAGATCTAATCCATGTTCTGGAGCTCACAATCTAGTGAGAGAACGCAACGTGTATTTTAAAAATGCTCCACAGGTGATTCTTATGCACATCTGCAGCTAAAAACCATCAGTCCATGGTTCACCCGCTCCCATGGTCCATGGTGCTAAAAGCCCCTTTCTTACTTTGCCAGCAAAACTTACAAGACAAACGGCTGCCTCCACATTTGATACTGGGTAAAAGGACAGCTCAGAAGGCAGCTACCTGCTACTGCTCCCCAAGATTGCTATCCTTTTCCCGGGGATCAAGCCACATCCATGATTATACTCACTCAGGGCTTAAGTGGGTGGTGGCAGTGCCAATGACAGACACCATGGCGGCCAACACTTCATCCTCCAACAGCACTTTTCTCATAACTGAGTGCTCCTTCTCTGTAAAATCAAAACAACAACACACACGCAAAACAACGCACACACAAACACAGGG